CAAGTGTAAACTGACTTCGACAAAGATAAAACCCAGAGAAGGCAAGCAAGTATTTCCTGAATTATTGACTCTCCCCCTGAAGAGCCTTATGACACCTGGTCTCTCCTGAGACCCACAGCCTTCTTAACACCAGCAGTTGCTGTATCAGATATGGTATGATACAGCAGTTGCTATAGGTGACACACTGGCTCCCTAGCAGTAATCCCCAGGGAAGTCTTCCTAAAAAGAAGAGGATATCCAGGATGGCTTGAAAACTCCCAGGGACAAGTGATTTTTCCAAAAGCCATAGTCACCCAGGTAGTTAAGGAGGCCCATGAGGGCTCAAATTATAGTAGAGAACTCTGTACAATTGGCTCCTTCAAATGATGACCACTCCCAACCTTGCAGAGACAGCACAGCAAGTGACCTAGGGTTGCTCTCTCTGCCAGACTAACAGCCCCCTAACAGACAATCATGAGACCCCAAGGCCTCATGTTAAGGCAGTACAACTCAGGGGAATTTACCCTGATGAGGACTGGCAAACACACTTTACGATCATGTCCGAGACTTCTGGCAACTTTAGATACCTTCTAGCTGTGGGTGATATCTCCCCAGGATGGGTGCAGGCATTCCCAACTCGCTCGGAGACCACCTCCTAGGTAGCATGCCATCTCTTAAAAAAAAATTTTCAGGCCGGACACAGTGGCTTACGCCTGTAATCTCAGCACTTTGGGAGGCCGAGGCGGGTGGATCACGAGGTCAGGAGTTCAAGACCAGCCTGGTCAACATGGTGAAACCCCATCTCTACTAAAAATACAAAAATTAGCTGGGCATGGTGGTGTGAGACTGTAATCCCAGCTACTCAGGAGATTAAGGCAGAAAAACTGCTTGAACTGAGACCTGGGAGGCAGAGGCTGCAGTGAGCTGAGATCACACCACTGCACTCCAGCCTGGGCTATAGAGTGAGAATCCGTCTCAAAAAAAGAATTTCCTGGCTGGGCGTGGTAGCTCACGCCTGGAATCCCAGCACTTTAGGAGACCAAGGCAGGTGGATCACAAGGTCAGGAGTTTGAGACCAGCCTGGTGAAGATGGTGAAACCCTGTCTCCACTAAAAATATAAAAATTAGCTGGGCGGGATGGCGGGCACCTGTAATCCCGGCTACTCAGGAGGCTGACGCAGGAGAATCACTTGAACCCAGGAAGTGGACGTTGCAGTGAGTAGAGATCGTGCCACTGCACTCCAGCCTGGATGACAGAGCAATACTGTCAAAAAAAAATATTCCTATGTTCGGGCTGACTAAAACCATACAGAATGACAACAGGCCAGCTTTTATATCTTAAATTATGCAAAAATTAGTCCAAGACCTAGAAATCCCCTGAAAACTTCACACAGCTTAGAGATCTCAGTCCTCAGCAGAAATGGAAAGAGTCAACTAAAGTTTAAAGAGAATGTTGGCTAAACTGTGCTGGGAAACAGGAAAACTGGCTTCCTCTCTTACCACAGTTCTTCTTAGAATAAGGACTGCACCCCCCAAAATAATTTTAACTGAGTGCATTTTAACTCGGTGTTCAGTGTATGGGTCATCAATCCCAGAGACAACCACAGGGAAGTGGCTGAGTCTACAGGAACTGGAACAACTAAAATATGCATTACATATTAGGAACGTGGCCCGTGTTCTTGCAGCTTATAGAAACCAGGATTCCCCATCACTGACAGACCTGGTTCTGCATCCTTATGTCCATCGATAATGGGTATATCTGAAAATCTGGAAGGTTCAAAGTCCAGAGAGTCAATTAGGTCCAAAATGAATGGGGCCATACGTGGTGATTCTGACAACACATTCTGCCTTAAAGCTTCAGGGAGTCACCCCGCAGCTTCATCACACGAGTGAAACGAGTGGGTGCACCAGTGCAGGAAACTCCCTCGTACCAGGCCGAACCCATCTCAAGATTTAAAATTGCTGTTCTGAAAACCCAACCTGACTCCCAAAAAGATAAGTACAGGATACTCTGACCCGTCTAAAGGGTCACTGCTGTAACACTGAAATATCTCTACCCGCCAAGAGTGTTCTTGATGGCACTTTCGGGTTGTCTGATCGCATTAGGGCTTGTCCTGTCGTCCTCAAAGCTGGCCTCTGGCTTAGGGATCTGTTTCCTTTTATTCCAGATAATCTTGATCACTGTATTCCTGAACACCTGTGACCCTCCTGGTATCTTGATAGAAAATTACAGATAGCTTAACTACACACCTTCAGGACTCCCTGATAGTCCCACGGTGTTTCCTTGAACTATCTGCCCTCTGCCTCCTCATCTCTTAGCCACCTCAGAATACTTAAGCTAGGTAAGTAAAAATTTACTCTCACTTTTTTCTTATACCACTTGGTCCTTTTACTCCTCAGCATCCAAGGGTCTCTGGGACACCAACACAACAGTCCAATTTTCCCGTATTCTATAGCCAGTGGGAACAATCTGTCTGAATGCTATATAAGCCATAGGCACCCCAAGACTCGGGAAACAGGGCCCAGTGTGTACCTTGGGGAAGGTGGTTTCAACCTCACAAAGCTGCCATGCAAATCTAACCACCCACACCTGTTGCTGTCTACCTGAGAAATTCTCAGTATAGGAGTTGCATGGATCCTGCTCCTAAAATCAACTACTTTTGTAGTCTAGCACCCACCTCAGGAAATGAAAAATATTGTTGACTCTACCATGCACCCCTCCTCCAGCAATATTTCCAGCTCCAATAAGGAATATAAATTTCACCTGAACTCAAAGAGGGCCCTCTGTCATTGTCAGAAGACTTCCCCTCCCCCTTGAGGCTCTCAATTACTTTACTGGCTAAACTTTCCATTCCCATAAGGGTTTGTGCATCCCCAGGGTATATGTTCATTTGCGGCTCTCCCCACCAGCACCTCCCTAACAGCTCCTCTGCTGCTACCTTTTCCTCCCCATTGCTAGTGGTAGATCACCCTTTCGTAGATATAATGAAATACACATAGGACGATGTACAATAGGTGTTATGGAATACAGCGAGATAACCATTCATAATACAACCTGCCATTACAGTAGGCCAAAGATGAGTCCTGGGCTGCTCCAGGCAGGCTTCGGACTTGCTGTACAATTGGTTGACCCTTGAGTGGGGAGAAGCACTGTACCTACCATGAGGATATCCAAATAAATATAACCCAAACAAAAAATCTAGCAAGCAATACCAGAAAGGTTATTCAAAAAAAAAAAACCTTCTTTCAACTGGTTAGCCAACGTAGTGCTGGACAATCAGCCTTAGACTATCTCCTAGCAAAATAAAGAGGAATATGTGTGATCACCAATACCATCTGCTGCACCTGGGTTAAACCCTCTATGGAGATAGAAGTTAAAATAAAGCAAATATTCAAACAAGAAGAATGGTGTCACTCCTTCGTGGTGACCAAGAGCAGCTCTAAGGACATCTGGAGTGCAATAAAGAGTGGCCTGTTCAATCACACTTTGTTCCTCCCCTCCTTGGCCTGCTGGTGATGATCCCGTTTTTATTAATTTTTGACCCCAGTAATCAGGTTAAGAATGAGACTGGAAGCACTCAAGCTGCAGATGGTAATCACCCAGGGATACGAGCAATTGGGGTTGCAGCCTAGAGACAATCAGATCTACCTCAGAATAGCAAGGGAAAGGTTTTGCTCCTCTAATTTACCAAGTGACAACACCCAGAAACATCAGGAAGTAGTTCCAAAAGTTGGACCCCTGTCCCTCAGCAGCCCTCAAGAATGAGGAGAAAATAAACAGAGGTCATCTAGGACACCCCCGATGAAATAACTGGGAATGTTCCTTTTTCCTACTGTTTTTCTTAAGTCCCTTCTTTATAGGCAAAGCTGCTGAAGGAAACCAGATGGCCGAGGATGATGCCAGAGCATCTTGACCCCTGACCAGATACCAGAGAAAGATGTGAAACTGAAGCAGTCTGGAACATGCGACCTGAAGTTACCTTCAGGTCATTAACATATCATCATAATGCTAAAATTCCCACCTGCAAAAGAGTATCTCTGCTATTCTGTGCACATGTGACATATGAAGACTTATGTTTACGAATTGAGCCTGCACGTCTGGAGTCCCACCCCACACATGCTAATATTCTTTTCATTCCCCCACAGCTAGTCCTTAAGAACCCCATGCCTTTTGTTCATGCATTTAAAGAAAGAGCTTTGCCTTCCTCAGTCTCTGGCCATCAGATAAAACCTAAGTGTCTTTTTCAATTAAATGTTCTTTCTGTACAACTGATAAAAAGCGACGAAAGAGCTCAGTTTACCACTGATACCTACAGGTGAATTCAGAAGAGTCCCTTCAGATTTTGCAGCAAGGTCTGGCCATCACGTGCAGATAACTACTATTATTTTCATAAGCAGCTCTTGGCTTGTCACTGGGTCTTAACAAAAATGAAATGCACGACTGTGGGCCATTAAGTTACCAGGCAGCCTCAGCTGCCCATTATGAACTGGGCATTGTCTGTCATACCAAGACATAAAGTTGGATGTGCAGAGCACTATCATCACATGAGAGTAGTATATGCATGACTGGGCCCAAGAAGGCCCACCCAGGAGGCACAAATAAGTTACATGAAGTGTCCCAATGCCCATAGTCTCCACTCCCATTACACCACTTTCTCTCTAGAAGCCTGTATCATGGCCTGAACTACAACCAGTTGAAAGAAAAAGAGAAGACTGGAACCTCACTTACTGATGGTTCTACACAATAGGCAAGCATCACTCAAAACTGCACAGCTGTGGCACTACAGTCCCTATCTGGGCCACTGCTGAAGTTGAGTAGAAAAGGGAGATCTTAATCAGCAGAATGTTAAGGAGGGTATACAGTTGTGCACTTTGCTTAGAAGAAAATCTGGTCAGAAGTGTAATTATACAATGATCCAAGGGTGGTAGCCAATGGTTAGGCCAGATGGTCAGGGTCTTTAAAAATATATGCTTGAAAAATTGGTTACAAAGAAATTTGCAGGAGTGATACAGGAATAGACCTATCTGAGTGGCCAAAAATTTAAAACATTTGTGTCCTATGTGGATGCTCAGCAATGGATGGTCACCTCAGCAGAGGAGGACTCTAATCATCCAGTGGCTGGGATAACACATTCTGTGACACTAGTCAGCTTCTGTCCCCAGCCACCTGTGTCGTCAGTCACCGGGCTCATGAATAAAGCAGCCACAGTGGTAGGGACTGAGATCATGCACGCACACAGCAACCTGGAATTCCACTTACCACGGCCAACCAGGTTACAGCCCCATCTGAGTGCTCAAAGTGTCAGCAACAGAAACATCCACTAAGCCCTTCATATGGCTCCATTCCCCAGGATGATCTGGCAACTCCCTGGCGGTAGGTTGATTACCTTGGGCAGCTTTCATCCAGGAAGCGGCAGCATTTTGTCCTTCCTTCAATAGTAAGATAGTTACTCTTTCCATAAATTATGCTAACCAGCTGACATCCTGTGTGTCATGAGGATTCTTTAGAGAGTCCCTACCAGCAAGAGGCTCTCACCAGATGTGGCCCCTCAGCCTCGGACTTACCAGCTGATATAAATTATCAGCATATTATCGTAAGAAATACATCTATTTTCTTTATAAATGACCCAATATTTTGTATCCTGTTATAAGAAAACAGGGACTATTAAGAAAATTGGTAATAAAAATAAACATTAACTATTCTGTGAAAACCACCATCCATGGACATACAGAATACCTTATCTACCATCCTGGTATTTCACACAGCACCGCTTCTGAACAAGGACCTCACTTCACAGACAAGGAGGGGCAGAAGTGAGCTCATGCTCAGAAACTTCAATGAGTTTACCATGTCGTCTGTAATCCTGAAGCAACTGTCTTGGTAAAATTACGGAATGTCCTTTGGAGGCTTCGGTTCCAGCACTTGCTAGGTGACAGTACTTTAGGAGACTGTTGCAAGGTTCTCTAGAAGGCTATACGTCCCGTGAAATCAGCATCCATTTATGGTGCTGTTTCTCCCCAAACGAGAATTTACATGTAGTTTGGGAATCAATCGATTATAATGAGAATGGCCCACCTAGCCACTTTCAAATCTTCAGGTCCTTGAACCAACAAAGGGAGGTTGCACTGTTGTTTGGGGTAACGGATCCAGATTACCAGGGGAAATTGGACAAGTACTCCACAGTGGAGGAAGGAAGAGTATGTCTGGAATACAGGAGATCTCCTTGTGTCATCTGTGTTTGGAATATTTGTCCCCTACCAAATTCATTTTGAAATGTAATCCACAGTGTGGCAGTATTCAGAGGCATGGCCTTTAAGAGGTGTTTGAATCAATCATGACTGATCTGCCCTCAAGGGTGAATCCATTCATTCATGGATTCATAAATTAACAGGTTATCATGTGAGGGCCATTGGTGGCTTTGTTAAGAGAAAAAGAGATTTGCATTAGCATGCTCAGCCCTGCCAGAAATAATAAGTTCCTCTTCAAAGCTTCCTTGTTCTTTCTGGCTCTGTATACAGCCTTTTCTGCTTGATCTGTAACAAGCATGTTTCTCTGCTTAATCTTTAACTAGCAAAACTATTACTCTGTAAACAACCCTTCACTGTGCCCAGACATGCCTTGTATTTGTTCTGTAAACCACCCTTCCTACCTTAGCAACGAACAGCCTCTCCCTTCCTGCCTAATTAGCCATATTCAATTTCCAACAGTAGCCAATCGGGTTCGCTTAGATTGTGTCGTCCGACTCCAGCCAATGGGGGAAGGACACAGAAACAGAGATTGCCTTAGGGATGAAAACCCTTGCCCTACCCCACTTGGTGTGCTCTTGCTATTGGATGGACACAGGCAGCACCCTTCTGCAGAAGTAAATGTGCCTTGCTGAGAACTTTTCTAAGTGCTGGTTTTTACCCCTCTTACAGGCACACCACCAGCAGCACGCCTTGTTCGTCTAGTACCAGGCGCCCCCTCCCAATAAACCAGGCCTGACCATCCCTGGTGTGGTTCCATGGACGGGATATTCTTGTTAGCAGGAGTCCCTACCAGCAAGAGGCTCTCACCAGATGTGGCCCCTCAGCCTCGGACTTACCAGCTGATATAAATTATCAGCATATTATCATAAGAAATACATTTATTTTCTTTATAAATGACCCAATATTTTGTATCTTGTTATAAGCAAGAAAAAAGGGACTAATAAGAAAATTGGTAATAAAACATAGGTTGCTGCTGAAACTGAGTATCTAAAAATGTGAAAGTCGCTTTCAAACTGGGTTATGGGCAGAGGCTAAAAGAATGGAGGGGCAGACTAGAAAAAGCCTATGTTCTTGTGAGGATTAAGAAGATAAGACTGGGAAATATTTGGGAGTCCTTAGAGATTGATGAAGTGGTTTGGACCAGACTGCTGATAAAACTATGGAGACTAAAGGATATTGTGACAAGGTTTCAGATGCAAATGTTATAGGAGTTATTAAGCAAATACAGAGGAAAAGGGGTCCTTGGAAAGTTTTGTGTCTTTTAAGGCAGCTCCAGAAAAATTTCTCGTCTAGCAGGAAAACCCTGGCTCTTACAGTCAGGCCTGCAACCTTTGATATGCAAATACCAGCCATCAGAAACTGGGTCTACCCAAAGATGGTGATTCCCGCCCTCTTCTTCTTTGCCCCTACATGTGCCTGGCAACATGGCCACCCCCACAAACCCCCACGTGTGCAGAACATCGTGGTGCCCTGCATTTGTATATCAAAAGGCTAGGGTGGGAGGGTCAGTTTTTTTGAGGGCTGAGTGACTTACCTGGTCAAACCAATCCCCTGAGCCCTATGCAAATCAGACACCACCTCCTCCAGACTACTCATATAAGCAGCCACTTTTCCTTGGCACATGGGGTCTCTTATCTTGGATTTGGAGCCACCCTCCCTCTGTCTTCTTTTCTTCTTCTCCCTTCTTGCTTATTAAACTCTCCACTCCTTAAAACCACTCCACATGTGTCCGTGTCGTCTTACCTAATTCGGCATGAGAGAAGAGCCCTAGTGTTCCTCCACTCATCGGAGCTGTATCACAACTAAGGAAAAACAATATTGCAAACTAAAGAACATCTCTGTTAAAAATTGGCAAATAACTTCGCTGAACTGGGTCCATGCCAAGGGCTTTGTGAAGACACTGATTTCTGACTGAAGAGCTAGGTAATCTGGCAGAAGAAATTTCTAAGCCACAAAGTGTTAACGTTACTTCTAAGCTGTGTGTCTGGTTACTTCTAATTGCTTAAGGTGAACTGCTAGAGGAAACACACACACACACACACACACACACACACACACACAGAGAGAGAGAGAGAGAGAAAAAAAATTCTAAAAATGTGCAGCCTAGCCATGTGGTAGAGAATGAAAGAGCATTTTCAGGAGAAAAATCCAAGGATGTCGCAGAGCCATAGCTTGCCAGAAATTACAATGGCTAAAGCACAACCAGCTGTTAATAGTCAAGACAACGGGAAAGAGGCCCTACAACCATTTCAATAACCTTCCAGGCTGCCTCATCCATTGCAGGCCCAGAGGCCTAAGCAGACAGGGTGGATTCTGGGGACAGCTTGGGCCACTGCCCTGCACCATGTTAGGATGCTGCTCTGCTCATTCCAGATGCTTACCATAAACCCAGGCAGAGTGTATGTCCCAGAGCTCTGGGAGGTACAAGCCCTAAACCTTGAAGGTGTCCATGTGGTGCTAGTAACATAGGCTTTCAGAAATGAAGGAATGTAGAGGCTTGGTGGTCTCTACACATTTCAAAGGATTTCTCTGAAAGCCTGGGAGTCCAAAAAGACACTTGTCACAGGGCCAGATCTAATGCAGAGGGCCCCAAATAGAGGGATGCCAAACACAAATGTGGGGTTAGAGCTGCTGCAAGGAGTTCCCGCCAGGGCAATGCCAAGTGAAGCCACAGCGCTGAAGTCACTGCAGAGAGTTCCACATGGGTAATGCCTAGCAGAGCTGAGGAAGTGGTACCACTACCGGGACCCCTCAGAAATGTGCAGTTACCTACAGCATGCAATGTCTGCCCAGGAAAACTTCATATACCTGACTGCAACCTGTACAGGCACCCACGGAGAATGTACCAAGCAAAGCCATAGCAGTGATAGTACCTGAGGGCCTGTGAGTCCAACCTTTACCCCAGTGTGTTCAGGAGTCAAAGACAGAGTCAAAAAAATATTCCCCAGCTTTAAGATGTAATCGTTGCCCTGCTGGATTTCAAATTTGCTTTAGGACTGTTGCTTTCTTTTTGCCCATTTCTCTCTTTTAGAAAGGGAATATGTACATTATGCTTATCCCGAAACTGCCTTTGCAAAAATGCTAACAGTGAGAAAATTACGACAGTGAAAGAGAGATGACCTAAGTGACTCCATCTTGCCTTTAACCTCTAAGCTGCCCTTGTTCATCCCCGGGCAAAGGCCAAACTAACTTTGGGAGGAATTTAGTTTCTAACTTAACTCTGAAACAAGGATGATAAGAGAAGCTCCCTGAAATAAATCCCCTCATTGTTTGGGGACTAGACCACCCCTGCAAACACAACAAAATAACCACAAGATTAGAAAGTATGACTCAGGAGTCATAAAGCCAAAGGCCACAAGATTATTAACCTCCCCAGCTGCTCCTATAGATAATCTATTAATACAGTAAAATAAGATTGGTTTTTGAGGGATTTTTCAGACCCTGTGTTGGGGAAGCACTAGTGCTTCCCCAACAGTAACCCGGCTCATCTGGACTTGTGGCCCCCACCCAGGAACTGAGTCAATGCAAGACGACAGCTTCTGAGTTCTATAATTTCATCTCTGACCCAAATAATCAAAATTCCCCAATCTCCAGCCTCCCGCACGCCAAATCATCTATAAAAATATCCTAACCTCAGACTTTGGGGGGAGCTTATTTTGAGTAATAATATAATTCTTGTCTTTTGCTTACCTAGCTCTACAAGTATTAAACTCTTTATAGCAATTCCCCCTCTCTTGATAAATTGGCTCCATCTCAGCATCAGCCAAGATGAACCC